TACCCACCTCGGCATGAATAACAGGTTTAAAGCTTAGACCCCTCTTTGTATGTTATAATGCCTTTATTGACCCTTCTGATAATAAAATATTACCCTATGTGCCACTATGGGAAAGGGACTTGAATGTTTCTCTTCCCCTGCCCCTATGGTTTAGGGCTATAGGGGTGAAGAAAAGATCATCCAGAAGCATCTCCCACTGGGAGGCCTACTGTAAATTGGTAATGAGGTGGTACTTAGCACCTTCCAGACTATCACACTTCTATAAGGACTCGTCCCTGATATGCTGGAGATGCCTCCAGGATAGAGGTTCACTATTGCATGTGTTCTGGTCCTGCCCATGCCTAGAAGCATACTGGAAATAACTGAAGGAGATGATAACCACATTGGTGGTATCACCCCTGCCTCTCACACCAGAAATATATCTATTGCAGATAATTCCTGATGGGATGGACCCTTCATATCGTATAGTATTAATACACATTCTCATAGTGGCTAAAACGAGTATAGAGTTTAATTTGGAGAAAAAATACCCCCCTAATGTCCGAGATGTGCAGGAAAGGATCGACATGCCATGAACAAATGGCCTATAGGTTGAGGGGTAAAGACAGAAATTATGAAAAATACATGTGAGCCACTACGCCGCATGCGGGATCTTTGAATAACCATTTTGCCTCAAGGTGCTGTTTCAGATTAAGGTGAATGTTATATAGGGTGAACTTTTTATACCGCTGATCTGTGTATAGGTCTTCAAAAATGAAACACCTGGTGACACGGTGCATTATTATTATTATTATTATATTTATATAGCACCAACAAATTCCATAGCGCTTTACAATGGGTGGACTAACAAACATGGAATTGTAACCAGACAAGTTGGACACACAGAAACAGAGGGGTTGAGGGTCCTGCTCAATGAGCATACATGCTAGAGGGAGTGGGGTAAAGTAACACAAAAGGTAAGGGAAGTATTAGGGACGTAGCTTGGTAGAATATTATCCAATGAAGACTTTGTGTGGGTTTTTTTGAAGCCATTAACCGCTTAATTGATACACTTTTGTGAAAAAGTGAGTTTTTAATGATTTTTTGAAGCAGTAGAGACTGGGTGAGCATCTAACAGAAAAGGGACAGGAACGGTGCAGCCCTAGAGAAGTCTTGGATACTAGCATCATAGGTAGGAGTACGAACAGAGGATAGACGCAGGTCTTCAGCCGAGCGTAGGGGCCTAGACGGGACATACTTGTGTATTAGGGAGGATACATAGGTGGGAGTAGCATTATGAAGAGATATGAATGCAAGAACCAGAATTTTATATTGGGCCCTATTTCTTACGGCAAGCCAATGCAGGGATTGACAGATGGGTGAGGCGTGGGAAATGCAGGCGGACAGGAAGATGAGCCTCGCCACTGCATTCATTATAGACTGCAATGGGGCAAGTTGGAAGCACGTAAGACCAGTGAGAAGTGGATTGCAGTAGTCAAGACAAGAGAGAACAGTGGCAAGGACCAGCACCTTAGCCGCATCTGGCGTTAAGTAGGGGCAGATGCGCGCAATGTTTTTGAGATGGAACGGCAGGATTTGGCGATAGACTGGACATGAGGGGTGAAGGAGAAGTCGGAGTCAAAGAGAACACCTAGGCAACTAACCTGTGTGGTGGAGCTGATGGTAGCACCATTAACGTGGAGGGAGATAGACACAGGAGGAAAGACTAGAAGTACTGTTTTGGACAAGTTGAACTTAAGGAAACTCAAAACTGTCTCATGTACTTTCCTTTCTCCACACTTTCCTTTTTTATTATATTATTTAATTTTATCATATATTGCCTTGCATCCTATTTTTTATTAGAGTGAGGACCTCACCAAAGAATCCTAGGTGGAGATCATGATACCTAAGCCCTATCCAATGAGTGGTTTGCCTGCTCAATTAAGTGTGATAAAACACCTCATACAGAGAACATTATTGTTGTTCTGTTTCTTTTATTTTCTGCATCTCATTGTCTGCTGTGAAACCTGCGGACCACATCTACACACATATCCTATAAGCGGGGATAATATCACTTTCCGCCTATTACACTAGAGCTGGTACTGGCTCTGATAAATGTGAGTAAGACTACATAAGACTTATGACCCAGTAAAGTTTAAGATCATTGTGATATACTATAGAATTGTGATTTTTCTGTTTTCTTGTATGTTCATACGGATTCCAAGCTACATCTGACCAAGTATTTTATACAAGAATAGCATCTCCCACGGGATCTGGCTTTTTTCTTGCAAGTTGCACTTTATATTAATTTGAACATTATTGTGGACGTTTTACTTTCTATCTTTTTTCTTGTTCAGTTTTTTATTTATTTTAATATCAGTTTTTATTGACAATATTGTATTACTAATCACTAGTAGTATATAAATATTAAAGACATTTTCTTCTTATCTTCTTTTACATTATCCTATTAATTTTGGGGTTTGCGAGGGAGCCGAGGTTTGCTTCCCTCTACTTTTGTTCTCTTTTTTTTTAGGAAAGAAAATTAGGTCATATGTAGCTTATGCTATAATAAAAGATTGGTTACAAGAACCAACATTACAGTGACACACAAAGGAGATAACAGGACTGGACAAAACAAAATTGTACATCAATAGGCAGAGAATGCAAATGTTTCACACACTAAAAAAGAATAATAAATGAGAGCAAAATCTAACCTGGCGAGTACATCAGATACTTATCCATGCCTTGTTCGCTTTGCACGCTCATTTAAAGACAAACGTGTCCAAGAAAATAGAAGCAGGAAAAGATTAATCTTGTTACATAGAGACAAATCCACATCAGGCAGTAAACGTATTAAAATACATTGATGTGATCAAAAACGTAAATGCCAGATCTGTTGGGAAATATTTTAATTGTATACAACAAACGATTGCTCTACCTCCTCCCTCTCCGTCCTTGCCCCACCTAGCAGTGAATTACTTCAAATGACTATGTCTATCTCTAATCCTAATGCCTAATTCCACAAACTAGCAAACAGAAACAATGCCACTTCATTTTTACTAAGCACAACCAGGTCAATTATTCAGACACTTGTCTGCACCAAAAATCACCAACGGCTGAAATTAGGTCCTCTCATCCCTTTCTTGAGCGAATACCAAAATAGAGGTAGATGGCTGAATTTAGCTTTAAGATATGTATGGATAAATCATTGATTTCACAGAAGATGAAAAAATGATTTCTGCTTACAAATTACTGGATCTGTTACAAGACATAACAGACCAGGAGATAACTGTTAGTAGGAAGGTAAACCCATTCACTAACCCCACCTGACAAATCTTAGTGATCCCTAAGAAGGAAACAGAAAAGTTTTGAGTGATACAACATTTGTCTAATCAAAAATCAGTTGCTGATGCTTTAGATTCTATGGATAGTTCAGTTATTTTTCTGTATTTTGTCTGAAAAATAACTGAATTATTTAGTTAGTGCAGTGAGTGGGTCCTGGGGCAGATGTGCTTAAAGTTGACATAGACTTAGACTTCGCATCTCGTCTGTTATCTATAACTCAACGGGATGAGGCCATATTATGTTGATAGGTGCTTCCCAATGGGATTTTCAATAGAATGTTCATATTCCAAAATCAGACCATAAAGGTTCTATGGCAAATTTCTTCATGTTTCTTTCTTTTTTTTAAAACGTTTCACAGGGAGCATTTCATGAACTGCATTCTCTCACAAATGGACTGTTAGAATAGAGAATCAGATTGCTCGCATTTCCTTGTAGAATTGTTAACTGTACAGTAAAAAGTTTATATTTTTTGCGCTCTTTGTTTGCAGAGTTTATATAGCGTTTAATTGAAAGTTTATATTGACTTATATGGTGACCTCCCTCTGCAAAGGGAGTTTTCATAGATAATTCTAATTCACCTGCACATATAGTATTTAAAGTAATGTTCATGTAATTAACACTCTGGAATCTGTATTTTAAATTGTAACACTGCATTTCACCATGCCTTTCATCCCAATACAAAATTGTCTTCAGAAAAAAAAGTGGTGGCTTGCTGTGACTGTTTTTCAAAGGTAATATAATATGTACATATTTATTCAGGAAACTCTGCATTTTATTGAACTGAAATCCAAATAGTAACATGTAGATTTCAATATTTGATTTTGAGAAATTCTTCCTCTCTGCTGTCAGAGACAAATTAACCATTAGGCAACCCGTTAGGCAAC